GAAAACGGCGTGATGTGATTGATGCATTCTCGTCTCGAACAGACCAATGATGTCGTATTTGATCTTTTGCGCTTGTACCCTCAGGTCCTCGATGGATGCATCTGATGCCAGCGTACATGCATTGAAAGTATAGACAGTCATTTTTGTCCTTCATTTTGGCAGCCTAGTTCAACCTTGATATTTTATCAGATATATATATATCGCCGGAGCGATAGCACAGCAGGTAGGGTGTTTGCCTTGCACGCGGCCAACCAGGGTTCGATTCCTCCACCCCTCTTGGAGAGCCCGGCAAGCTACTGAGAATATCCCGCCCGCATAGCAGACCCTGGCAAGCTCCTCGTGGCATATTCGAAATGCCAAAAACAGTAACAACAAGTCTTACAATGGAAACATTACTGGTACCCAGTCGAGCAAATCGATGAACAGGAGGACAGTGCTACATGCTAGATCTCAAAAACCTGCACGTGATTGTGTGTGTAGGTGGTGATGGGACGGGGATTAGAACCCATTGCCGAGAACACATGTAAGGCATTGGGCTCCAACACTGAGCTACACACCCTGACCTGCATGTGAATTATAGGTAAATAAACTGCAGAATGTCCAAACAATGAAATAATATTCAATGCTAAAAAAGAAATATGTCAACAAGTCATCAACAGAAATGGATAAAAATTAAATACATTGCTAAATGAAAGAAGTCTATATAAAAAGATTTATGCTGTATGATTTCTGCTTTATGATGTACTAAGAAAGGCAGAACAATGAAGACAGTAATAACGGTTTTTTTTAAAAAAGAAAAAGAAAGAAAAAATTCATTATCAGGGTATGAATAAGTGTAGGACAAAGAACTTTTATGATCGAGAAAATTCTCTATTATGATTCAAATTGCATATCTCTCAGGAGAATTATGTTGATAATGGAGGAGCACTGGCAGCAGTATAAGGAAAAAAATCTCTTCACAAGTTTAAAAGTGAACCTAAAACTACTCTGAAAAAGTAAGGTCTTGGGGCCAGAGAGATAGTACAAAACTTTAAACAAACAAACAAAAAAAAGGATACAAATTTTGTTGTTGATGATTGGGCTTTTGTTTTGGTGTCAGGAGTTGAACCCAGAGCTTCACACATAAGGCTGAGAGTGGGTGAGTCTTGGTCTCAATCTACTCTAGTTGGTATGCCAGATTCCATAGACTGGGTGACATAAATAACAGAATTTTTCACAGTTTAGAGCCAGGAGGTCTAGTCAAGAAGCTACTGATAAAAGTGCATGGACTGTTATCTCTCCTCTGTCTTCACATGGTGGAATGATCCTATGCCTGAGAATGAGGTCTCATGACCTAATCCCCTCCCAAGGGCCCCGGCTCCTAAAACCATCAATTAGGGATTAGATTTTTTTTTTGTTAGTGAAACACCATGAGGTACAGTTATAGACTTACAAATTTTTGTGCTTGGGTTTCAGTTATACAATGATCAAGTACCCATCCCTCCACCAGCGCCCATCCTCCACCACCACGGGTCCCAGTATCCCTCCCGCCCCCCATCCCCCCCATCCCATCCTGCCTCTGTGGCAGGGCATTCTCTTTTGTTCTCTCTCTGGGGATTAGATTTTAACATATGAATAGGGGGAGGAAGTGGGGCAGAGAGATAGCACAGTGGGTAGGATACTTGCCTGGCATGTGGCCAGACCTGGATTGGATTCTTGGCACTACATATGGTCCCCAGTTCCAGGCGTGATCCCTCAGCACAAAGCCAGGAGTAAGTTCTGAGTACTGCTGCGTGTCCCCAATACAAAACATAAGTTTATTGGGGGTGGGGGTTGGGCCACACCCAGCAATGTGAATGCTGTCTAGGAGATGCTCCTAGGTCTTTCTGGAGGGTCACTCCTGGGAGTGTTTCGGGGACCATATGATGCCAGGGATCAAACCAGGATCAACCTCATATAAGGAAAATGCTTTATTCCCTATATTATCTCTCCAGTCCAGATAACTTATTTTATTTGTTTTCTGTTTGGTTATTGGTTGGTTTTAGTTTAGGGGCCATATCCCATGGTGCTCAGGGTTTAGCTGGTTTTTGTGCTCAGGGATCACTCCTGGCAATACTCAGAAGAGAGTATGTGGTGTCAGAGATTGAACCCTGGTTGGCCACAAGCAAAGCAAGCACTTTACCTGCTGTACAATCTCTGTACTATATTTTCCAAAATATAGAGAATATTTCATTTATTGTAAGGTAAAGGTAAAAGGTAAAGGCCCTCCCGTTGATCATCGATTTGCTCGAGCGGGCCCAGTAACGTCTCCATTGGAGACTTTGTTGTTACTGTGTTTGGCATATCGAATATGTCATGGGGAGCTTGCCAGAGCTTGCCAGGCTTTGCCGTGCTGGCGAGATACTCTCGGTAGCTTGCCGGGCTCTCCGAGAGGGGCGGAGGAATCGAACTCGGGTCGGCCTTTTTGGCTGCGTGCAAGGCAAACGCCCTACCGCTCTGCTATCACTCTGAAAACTTAAACCCCAGTCATCTGATTCCAAAGCTCAGGCTCTGAGCAGTCTGCTGATGCGACTCTTTTCCCGTCCAGGGAGAGGAGAGGGTAGAGTCTAAGAGAATAGAGGGGCGGAGGAATCGAACTCGGGTTGGCCATGTTGGCTGCGTGCAAGGCGAATGCCCTACCCGCTGTGCTATCGCTCCAGCCCAGGAATTGAACCTGGCTCGGCCAGGCTGGCTGTGCACAAGGCAAACACCCTACCGCTGTGCTATCAGTCCAGCCCCCCATTTATTGTAAAAGCAGTGAAAATAGATGAAATCAGTAAAATTTTAGTTGGAACAAATTGTCAGTGATTCTGGACATCCCAAGAATTTTTTCCTAATATCAATTTAGTCTACACCTAGTTGATGTCAGGCCTTCAACACTCAAAGAGAATGTCTGTTATCCAACCAGTACACAGGCAATTCACATTTTTTTTCTTTTTGGGTCACACCTGGCGGTGCTCAGGGCTTACTCCTGACTCTGCACTCAGGAATTACCCCTGGCGGTGCTCAGGGGACCATATAGGATGCTGGGAATCGAACCTGGGTCGACCGCATGCAAGGCAAACGCTTTACCCGCTGTGCTATTGCTCCAGCCCAAATTCACAATTCTTTGTGTTCTTTAATTTGTTTTCCCACCATTTCCTTCCTTTTTGTTGTTGTGGTTCTGATGTCCAGGGTCTTACATGTAACTGTGATGTTCCTACACACTGTTCAAGGTGCTCCAGAGATCAAATACTTCTTTTGTCTTTTCAGCCACATCTTGCAGTGCTCAAGAGTTATTTTTTTGGCTCATCACTAATGAGTCACTCCTGGAGGGGCTCAGAGAGCATATGTAGTGCCAGCAATCAAACCCAGGCCTGCAGCATGCAAGCAGGATACTGGGACCCGTGGTGGTGGAAAATGGGCACTGGTGGAGGCATGGGCATTTGATCATTGTATAATTGAAACCCAAGCACAAAAATTTGTAAGTCTACAACTGTACCTCATGGTGTTTCACTAATAAAAATTTTAAAAAAAACACGTTATAAAACAAGTTATAAAACCTCACAGGATGGGAAGAAGAAGAGATTGACTCAAAGTGACAAGGGCAGGTCCCCCAGGGGGATGGTGCAGTAACATTGTATGCCAAAGGCGTTACAATTAACATTGTTGTAACCATGTTACCCCAGTAGCAATAAAATATTTATTCAGGAAAAAAAATAGAAAACAATTGAGCCCCACTGGGACTAAGTAACCCCAGAGTAACCCCTGGGAACCCCCAGAAGTAAGAAAATAAAAAATTTAAAACTGACAGATTAATAGGAGGAGTGAGTAAAATAGATCACGGATCCAGGCATTTGATCAGAGATCAGAAATAAATGTCTTCGGTTTTTCGAGAACTGGAACTGGATATTCTGAGATCTGTAGGTGGAACAGAGAGACTCCTGGTGAGGAGCAGGAATCTTCTCACAGACACAGCCTGGTCCTGTCAGCTGCTCTTCTCACATCTGTGCTCCTGTAAATGCAAGGAACACTCATGAGGCAGATGATGGCATGATTGAGGAAATGCCATTAGGGATACGCAAGAGCCCCTTCTCACAGGATCCTTAGCCCAGGATCAGCCCTCTTCTGAGGGTGGGAGCTGGAATAAATCCGTTTGTGACCAGAAAGCTTCAGACACAGCCAATGCTAAGGCCAATGGATGCTTGAAGATAAAATAACTTCTAATGCTTCTGTCTGATCTGATCATAATGCTATAATTTAAATAAACAAACGCCGATCTTATTTTCCATCTCACTTCTTTCAGTGAGATTTCTTTACAATTCCATGGACCATGACAACCAGGTGTGAAAAATAACCAGTGTCATGCTTCCCAAACCTTTTCAGAGCAGGGCGAGGGCTTTTGGTTTTGAGAGTAAAAAACCTTATGCACCTGCGCGCTTGCCCAAGTAGTCTCGCCTAGTATTTGTTGAGCAGAATTCCCTGGGGTAAGGGGTCTGGGATTTCCAACCCTTAGAATTATAGTGTGTTGAGGGATTGGAGAAAGTGAGAAAGGAAAGGGCTTGGTTCCGTTTGTGTGCCTGAAGATAGCATAGGAATGAAACCATCCAAGAACCCCACGTCCTTTGGGTATCTTGTGACTCAGAAAGCTCAGGAGAGTCCAGAACTTTCCTGATCTATAACGCTTTTCTTTTCTTCTTCTTTTTTTTCCCCCCTGTTTCTAACATTTATTTTGACGAGTCACCGTGAGATAGAGCATTCCAGAGCTGCTCCTGCTGGGTTTCAGTCAGACAGTGTCCCAACACCGGTCCCTCCACCGGTGCAATTCCCCAGCACCAGTGTCCTGTGCCATCCCCAGCCACCGCCGTCGCCCGCTCCTGGTTCCCATAGCAACCGTGACGAGCCCGCAGCCGCGGAGGACGCGAGGACCGCGGGGAGAGGCCCTCGCGCGCCACCCTCTCGTTCCTCCCTGGCGGCCTCCACCCAGGGCTGGGGGGCAGGACCAGGAGCAGGAGGTGGAAAGGGTGTGTCGTCAGCCTCGCGCGGGGCCCGCACGGATGCCCTGGGCAGCGCTGCACTGGGCGGAGGAGATGCCCTTGGACGTCCGAACGGGTGAGTCCTGTCAATCCTTCCTCCGGCTGAACAAACCCCCCCAAATGACAGCGCTTTCTGTCTCGATTGGTGCTCTTTGAACGTTGCTCGGAAATAAACGCTGACGGCTGGGAAGCCTCTTCCTGGAGCTGCTATTGTGTGTGCCTGGAACCTGCCCCCGGAGCCCGTGTGCGCTGCGCCCGCGGCACGTGAGCGCGGAGTGGGCAGCGCGCGCCCAAGGCCTGCAGGGCAGCAGCAGGCTCCTTTGCCCAGACTCTGCCCTCCAATTTGCTTTGCGTTCCTCTCACACAATAGCTTCCCCCAGGAAAATCCGAGGCGTGCCAGATTTAGAGGAATGCCAGGAGGCCTCGGCCAAACTCGGTTCTCTGGTGAGCTCAAGGAAAACGAGGTCAGTCGGGACTGTAACAACAGGAGGGAAATCTGCCCGGTAGAGGGCGCTCTAGCGCTCGCCAGCGCGGCTCAGTCGCAGGCCATCACCAACCACCCCTGCACCGTGATAACGCCAGGAACGGGAGGCTGGAGTGGAGGCATGCAGGATTTTGTCTTGGAGAGTTTTAGCAAAAGGAAGATTAAGCTTCTCTCTTTCTGGAGGCTGGGATGTGGTTTGGCGGAACTTGCATGCACGAGACCTGACTACTGTGATCCCCAGCACCGCAAAAAAAAAAAAAAGTTTGTTCCTTCCTGGAGGCAAAAGAGTTAAATAATGGCCTGCTGCATCTTTAGAATCGAATGACTGTAATACCACAACAAAATAGTCCGTGCCTTCCAGATTGCATACCCACCCCAGCACCACCACCACGCCATACCCATCTGCGATCAACTATTTATAATTATTATTGTTATGCTTTATTATTTTGCCCTTTCAAGGAAAGGGTAAAATTTTGTTGAACAATAAACTGAAGACAGAACTGGGCTCCTGTTCTCACTTCTGGCTGTGCTTGGAACACATGGGGAGTTTTGAAAAATTGTGATAGGCCAACAAACTAGGACAGAGGTTAAAGTGCTTGCCTTGCATTCCCTAACCTGGTTAGATTTCCAATTTTTTTTTTTTTTTTTTTTGCTTTTTTGGGTCACACTCTGGCATTGCACAGGGGCTACTTCTGGCTCTGCACTCAGGAATCACTCCTGGTGGTGCCCGGGGGACCATATGGGATTCTGGGAATCGAACCCGAGTTGGCCGCGTGCAAGGCAAACACCCTACCCGCTATACTATCGCTCCAGCCCCATAACCTGGTTAGATTTCCTGCACTGCATATAGTCCCCACCCCAGCACCACCAAGAGTGACCCCAGAACACAGCCTACAGTTGGGTGTGGTTCAAATCCCCTCCAAAATTAACTAATTTAAAACTTTAACATGCCGATTTCCCAGAAATTCTGCCTCAATTAGTTTTAATAGCAGGAATTTTAAAAGAACTTAGGTGATTCCACAGAGCTAAATTTGCATCCTGCCATGACAATCTTTTGGACGATTACTATTACTAGTAATAGCTTAGCTTCTCAAATACACTGCTATCACTGCTCAAATAGGTGTGTAACTGTCTCGAAGCTCCCAACCAGAGGATTTGGCTGGGATTCAGTTGCTCAAAGAGGTTTAAGATGTTGGTGATGTTTGTGAAATTTTCTGATTTATATTTCAGACAAGGGGGAAAGGTGATACAGACCTTTGCCTGAAGGTGCAAGCTGTGGTCTTTCCATGCCTATAATTGCTATCTAGAGTCATGTGTAAATGACAACTCCCCCTTGCAAGAATGAACTTGGAAAAAAAGAAGCAACAATAAGACCACCTAGGAATTACATAATGTCATCCTTCTCAGCTCTAAAGCTCTTCGAACTCCTTGTACACTCAAGGAAAATCCTAAAATTTTTATTTTCCTGAAAATTCGGGCAGCAGGGGAAGCTCCTCTCTGTAAGTCCTATTGCAGACTGCAGGCAAACTTATTTTGAGTGGTTCTTCCAAAGCTTGCATTCTTTGGTCCTTTCCATGAATATTCATAAGAACTGTGAAGCTGATAAGAGGCAGATTACACAAGTTCAAGTTCAAGTTCAAGTTCAAGTTAGTTACCTAAGGTGTTCAGGAAAATCAGATAAGGTCCTCAAACTCTTGCAAAAGGAATTACAATGATAAATGCACTAGAAAATGTTAGCTACAACCAAAACTTCCTCAGTAACAGCTTCTAATGCTATTGCCTTAATTTTGGATATAAAAAGAGATTATGGAGCCGGAGTGAAAGTACAGCAGTAGAGTGTTTGCCTTGCACACGGCCTACCTGGGTTCGATCCCCCGAGCACTGTCAGGAGTAATTCCTGAGTGAAGAGCCAGGAGCAACCCTGAGCATTGCTGACTGTGATGCCCCCCTCCCCCAAAGAGATTATGGTTTCCTTGGGGGATAGGTTTAAAAGCATTGTAGGAGGGAGGGGTGTTGGGATTCTTGGGTGAGGGAGATAGGTGCACTGGTGATGGTTCAAACCCTCAGCACCATAAACAAACAAACAAACAAACAAACAAAACAAAACATTGTGTACTATAAAGTAACTGGAAAGACTTTATTTGCCTAATAAATATATAAGGGAATAAAAATGCTGTTTGTAGATCATAATAATCTTTCCAAAGTGAATCACAAATCTTCCTGCATGGTCCTGCACTGCATGGTCCCCTGGGAGAGGTCCCCGGCCTTGCACACTGAACAGCCTTTCCCGCGTCACACGACATTCCTTGGATCTGCATTTCTAGGCACTGCCTTTGACAAACTGCAGAGACAGTAATAGGAACCGTCCTTTCGTGTGTGTCTCCATTTGTGTACAGTCACACATACAACATTATACTGTCCCCTCTTAAGACAAAACTGCCTCTTACCGAGCTTGGACTTAAATTAGTCTGTCATTTGGACCACCTGTCCCACCCCTTGGCAAAGCTGACCGATGGGCTTGCTTCCCTGCTGCTCTCTCTCTGGGGGAAACGGAGCTGATTTCTGCTCCCTTAAGATTTGATTCCATTCCCTGCAGGTAACATTAGAGCTGATTCACCACACAGAATAGACCAGGTCAACACCTCAAAGGCTGCCAGTCCAAAAAAGTCCCCAAGCAACAGAATCAGGTTCTCACTTCTCATTGGCTCTCTCCACCATGACTATCAATACTTACTCTCTGGAAAGGGGCAGTTTATTTGACAAGACCCTAGGGAGAAATGTTCCACTGATTTCACTTAATCTATGTATATCAATTAATTTTTAGGTAACATCCAAACTCAGAGCAGGAATAATAAAACCCAATACTCTATACTTTGCAATTCTGTGTATGCCAGGCATGTACTCCCAAAACTTCTGGGTCCTATTTTACCCTATTTTTCACTTTTTTCAAACTGAATTGTAACACATTAGTGGATTTGAAGTTATTTCTCCAGCCCAAGAAAACATAGTAAAAAAGGAAAAAAGGAGACAGTGGGTAGAGCACTTGCCTTTCATGTGGCCAACCTGCATACAATTTCTGGCATCTCATATGGTCTATCAAGCCCACCAGGAGTGATCCCTGAGCACAGGTCCAGGAGTAAGCCTCAACCATTGCTAGGGTGGCCCAATAAACAACAACAAAAAAATAATAAGGAAAACTGGCTTAGGAGAATAATTCATAAGTCTGAGCACATGCTCTGTACATGGGAGCCCAGGTTTGATACCTGGCACTGCATGGTCCCCTAAGCACTGCTGAGAGTGAGGAAGAGGAGGAGGATGAGGAGGAGAAGGGGGAAGAGGAAGAGGAGAGGAAAGGGGAGGAGAGGGATTGAACCCAGGTATGCAGCCTGCAAGGCAAATGCCCTGCCTCCTGTATTATGTTTTTTTATTTGTTTGTTTGTTTTTTGGGCCACACCCAGCGATGCTCAGGGGTCACTCCTGGCTCTGCACTCAGGAATTACTCCTGGTGGTGCTTGGAGGCATATGGGATGCCGGGGATCGAACCTGGGTCAGCCGTGTGCAAGGCAAATGCCCTACCCACTATACTATCACTCTAGCCCCTTCCTCCTGTATTACAGCTCCAGCCCCTGGAGTTAAAATTTGGACAGCATCCTGGGATGAAATATCAAGCTGCTCTTTCAGGGGAAGGTTATCTGGGGGACTCTAGCCACCCTGACCTTAGCTTACAGCTCTAAGAATTGAAGGAATTGATATAGGGTACCCCTTGTCACTTATATGCTAGATTTCAGAGCACCTGTCATGGCCTGGTCTCAACTCTTATCAGCATTCCCTTCCCTGCTCCAGGTTTTTTGAAGTTGTTTCATTGCTATATAAATACAAGGGACACATTTGGTGGTTCTCAGGGCTCTCTAGGGCCACATAGGTGGTACTTAGGGAGTCTTACAGTGCTTGGCATGAAATGAACCCAGGGTCTCACATCGAAGTATATTCCTTACCCCTCTTCCAAGGTGTTGTTTTTGTTTTTCTGGAGGAGTCCTCAGGGGCCCCACATGTGGGGGTGCTCAGGTCTAGAAATGCAGTGTGCTGGGGATATTGAGGGCCTCTAGGACCACAGGAGGAGCCTGTATGATGCCTGGGACAGAACTTGGGGCCTCTGCATACCGGACGTGTGGTCTAGCCCTTTGAGCCTCTACTTCCACGTTTTTGATGGTTTCCAAGCAGAGCCAAGGATGGTGATTGTCAAATGCCTGCTGCTCTTCTCTCTCCTTAGGGCATAATAATGGCATGGAACCCAGGAAACAGTAACAAATCCTTCTAGATGAACTTAAAGAATCTTCCCAGGGCCCTAGGCTCTCTCACAAGCGTCATCGGGGCCAGTCAGTATTGTTAAGAACCAACATTTGTGATCTACTTAGGGCAGCTGTGATGGTGGTGTAGACAGGCGAGGCTTCCAAGAAAGGAGAGAAAACCAGAACCAAAGACCTGTTTTCACAGAGGCCCTGTCTACAGTATCCAAAAGACCACTAAATACGGAAAATACACGAACATCTCATCTCCCTCCCTCCCTTCTTCCTCTTTCCTTCCTTCCTTCC